TTGAGTCGAACGACGTGAGCCACCTCGGGTCGCGATCGGCGTCGCGATGATGCGCGCCTTCCGTCGGGCACCACTTTGTAGTTGAGATCTTCCAGGTGTCGAAGGACGTTGTACGGTCTAAAGTAGCCATTTAAAAGCTTCTCGCTGAGTCCACGTCGTGGTATCGGTGTCCACACCCACACCCGATTTCCGGGCTGGAAGTGAACTTCCAGACGACGAAGCTTGACACGGCCAGCGTCGGCATTTTGCTGGTCTTCGATCCGGAGTCAGGCGCACTAACGGACTTATTCTGCTCGTTGCGCAACCTCTTGGGGGTCATCACTTCCGCCGCCAGCTGGCGCGTGAAGTTGCATGGCGTCAAGCATTGTGGTCACCTTGCGACCATACACCAAGTGGAATGGTGTAACACCAGTGGTCTCCTGGACCGCTCTGTTGTAGTCGAATGTTACATACGGCAGGACCCCGTCGTCCTACGTCTAGTGTCATCATCTCGGCGATGATCTTGTTTAGGCTTTCTGTCGGCCCATTAGTTTGAGGATCGCATACTTTGGTTCGTCGGCAGTTGGTGTGGCTGAGACGAAGGATCTCTCGCGATAGCTGTGCAATGAACGATGACCGTCGATCTGTAATCAGAACTTCGAGAGCGCCGTGGCAGATGACGATGGACGCGATAAAAAAACTTGGCGACTTCTAAAGCCGTTCCTGAAGGAAGTGCTTTCGTTTCGGCGTACTGCGTTAGATGATCTCAGGCACCGATTATGCAGCGGTTTCCCGGCGTTAATGGCGCAAAAGAGCAATTGAAATTTCTTCCGATATGAAACGACGTGGATAGTGGAGCAATCGCATGCAGAAGTCCTGACGCTTTCGTCGATGGTTTCTTGCGTCGCTGACACTCGTGGCACAATAGAGTGTAGACATGAACGGTCTTCGGTAGCCTCGGTCAGCAGTACTTTTCCCGAATCCTGGCGAGCGTCCTCCCATAGCTAAGGTGCCCAGCCGTTGGGTCGTCATGGAAGGCTTGGAAGATTTCTGCCAGAAGACTAGTAGGAATTATCAGTAGCCATTCGGTGTTGCTCTTCCCGAAGTTCTTTTTTCAGAAAACACCTCGTTGAATGTCGAAGCTTGACAAACCTTGGAATAAAATGGGAGAAGGGTGTACTTCCTTGACCTTCCAGGTGCTCAATCACGGCACAAAATTTGCGGTCATGACGTTAAAGTAATGCGATGTTGGCTACCTGGACTGCGCCAAGAAAACCTACGTCATCCTCGTCCTCGGTTCTAGCAGGTGGCGACTCGACGGAGGCTCTCGACAGACAGTCGGCGTCACTCTGTTTGTGAATGCTTTTGTACGTAATTGTCATGTCAAATTATTGCAGTCAGAGACTCCAGCGAGCGAGGCATCTAGAGGCACCTAGCTTCGCGAGCCAGCACAGCGAGTGGTGATCTGTGACCACGCGGAATGGACTACCATACAAGTACGGGCGAAACGTCATTATCACTTAGACGACAACAAGGCACTCTTTTTTTTTTGTCATCGAGAAGTTGCACAACGCCTTAGACAGCGTCTAAGAGGTTGTGCAGTTGTCGCCGCCGGCGTAACTGCGCGTTGCATGCAACGCGCGTTGCATGCAACTCAAGTGCTGCATGCAACCAGCGCGTTGCATGCAACATGCGAGTTACATGAAACATGCAAGCATTATTGGTAGTTTCCCATAATGACGTCATGAGGGTTACCCTCGTGAGGGTTACCAGGGTTACTCTCACGAGGGTTACGAGGGTTACTTTCACGAGGGTCACGAGCGTTACCCTCACGAGGGTTACGAGGGATAGTTACCCTCAAAAGGGTTACCCTCACGAGGGTCACAAGGGTTATGAGAGTTACCCTCAGGTAACCCCCCGCCCCTGATGTCACGTGACCCCCCCCCCCCCCCCCAAGGTCACGTTACTTCAGGGAGTCATCTATCCGTCAGTACCCTTCCATCCTTCTCCTCAAAAGCTGCGCTCTAATCCAGCGTTAGAGTGAGTTGTGAACGGCTTTCATTTTTTTTTGTGTGTGATGCTTGGGCAGTGTTAGTGTGGCTCAAAAGAGAAAGAGAGCGACGTCTCGAGAGCGCCCGGTATGCACTACCGTTAGTTCCCTAAAAAGGCCGCTCAAATGCACTTGCTCGCGATTGTGTCACCGGCGTCGTGTGCACATATCTTTAAACAGGGTACATTGAATTATTCTGAAATTAAGCTTGAGCAAGTTTTTTACACACATTTTTGTTCACTCTCGTCCTCAGCCCATTGGTAGGCGTATCCAATAAAAAAATAAAGCGCTGGCTGAACAACACCAAGTGCTGGACGGAGAACGATTTGTGCAACTCCGCTCAGGAAACAAGTACATAAATGCCAGGATTGATTCGGGTGCAGACATTACAGTGGTTCGAAGGTCCATGGCCACCATTTTGGATGATAATCAAAAGGGAAAGGTTCGGTTGAAGGGCGCTTTCGGCCACGAGGTGGAGGCCGATCTCATGTATGTCCCGTTTCGACTTGGTAGCAATGCACTTGACACTGGAGTGGATACACTACTGCTCTGTGCTGTAACCGAGCAGCTTGCCGGAGAAGTTGACGCACTACTCACACCTGAGGATTTAGTAACATTAAGAGGAGTGGAACAGGAAATGCCCTTGGCAGATCAGGTAGATCTTCCTGGTGAAGCTACAGTCTTGAAGGAAGGTCCTGTGATAGAGGCATGTGTGGTGAGCACACAGTCGGAGGGAGAAAACGAGACTGTAGAGTCTGAGGACGAGCGAAGTAACGTACACGAAATTGAATCTGGAAGTTGCCTTCAGTTTTGAACAGAGCAGAAGAACGACGAGTCGCTGAAGCCACTGTGGCTACAGGCGAAAAAAGGGACTCATGGAATGCAAGTGATTGATTGAATGCTGTTCCATAAAGAAAAAATTAATGGCAGAACTGTGAAGCAGTTAGTTTTACCGGAAAACAGGCGGAAGACAGTGTTAGAAGTAGCCCATGACAAACCAGTTGGCGGGCATTTTGCGGGAAAGAAACCGCAACAGCGAATAAAGAATTCGTTTTAATGGCCGAACATGCAGGAGTAGATAATTAAATACTGCAAAGAGTGCCATTACTGCCAGGTGAACCCGAGACCTAGGATCAGAGACCGTGTGCCTATTTACGATTTTCTTTTTATTACGATTTTCTTTTTATTGGAAAAGAAAAAAAAAAGGGGGGGGGGGGGGGTGGGGGGGGGGGGCGTGTCATGCATGTGGCATGCATGAGGCAGCAGATTCAGCGCCTTCGCCGACGGGTTATCAGGTTTTGTGATTGTTATATTTTTGTTACCCGTGCTGTGCGCTGATTGGCGCGTCGAGGAAGGGCGACGTGACGACGGAAGGAAGAATCGACAAGACGGGCAGTTCTGGGCTGGAGCTGACTCAAGCAACACTTGGAGCTCGAATAAAGCGCTTTCCCCCCCCCCCCCCCAAAGGCTGGCTCCCTGCCTTCCAGGGTCCCACGGCGCCCAAACCACAAGCCGTGACTGAGGCAAAGCAGGAATGGGTGAGGGATAAGCTGACGTGCTAAATGTATTCCATTGGCCTGGCGACGGAAAACCTATGTTTTCGCCCATACCGGAAGTGGGGATATTCAAGACGGCGGCGACAGTATGCAAAATGTCTATAAGTGTGTTTCACTGCTTACAAACATGAATTGCTCGTTGAGTTCCAAGCGACTTCTGGTGGCTTCGTCTTTTCAAGCCTTTCGAGCTTGGTGATGTCACTAGTGCTAGAAAGCATAAATGCTACACGGACAACAAGGTAGGAGAATATTCGAAAATGTTTAACAGATCTCACGCTTCCCGAAGGAAAAATCCATCAATGTAACCCTGTTTGGCAGTCAATGTTTTCTAGTGGACCGCTGACTGTGCCTGACTGTACGTCAAGCATGTCTGATTGACCAACAGGTTACTCTGACCGACAGTCAAACTCCAGTCAGACCCCGCTTGTCGGCTTTCTGATGGTTTCCTGGTGGCAATCGGCCGCCGCGAAATGCCATCAGGATGTCCTGGTGGTGATTCTGACTGTACATCGATTGTCTCTGACTGTACGTCAGAAAGCTTTGACGTGCAGACAGACGTACGGTCAAAGGACGTAAAGTTCGTTCGGATACCACTATTTCGTCAAATCTATGAATACGAAAAGTAATCTATGCACGAGAAAACGATTTCGGGACGTGAGCCCATAAAACCGCTGACGTTAGAGATATTACACGGAACCGACCGACAACCTTGATCAGAAGCCCGCCGAAGCGCCGAAAACGACACTTCGCACTTCGCTTCGCCCATAGAGGCTTCGCCGAGCTTTCATAAACGATCGCTCTCGACTCGTTTTGTTTGCCCGCTTGCTCCAACCTGTCGATCCTGCCCGGGCTCTACAATGTCTTATGTTTTAGTAGAATTTCTACTCGACAAGACCCAGTCTGTTGTGAGTTCCGACGATGTAAAGGACTTTAGCGGTGTAGTTGAAGACGACAAGGTTGGCTGGAGCCAGGTCTACTGGGCCGGTGACGCGCGAACAAAAGGATCGTTCTACGACGCGAAAGTGCTCTACATGGCAGGTGAGTAGAAGTGAAGTACGGCGAGTGATGTACGAGTGCTTTGCATAACATGCTGAAGTCTTAACTGCATTTGCAACCGAAGAATCTCGTATAAAACGGATGGTGAAATCTAGTTCTCTAAGAAGCGGCGTAGCATAGCGGTTAGAGTATCCGATTTGTACGAAGTGGTCGCGGGTTCGATCCACGGTGGTCCTGCTTTTTTTTTTCTTTTTTTTTTTTCTCGAACATTTTGTTTTATTGAGGCATTTGGCGATACTTATGAGTGCGTATAGCTTTACTCTGTGGGGATTGAAAAGGACGACAATAAAGGTGGCTCGTGAGGTGGGTCAAGCTAGCGCGCGCTCAGGACGAGCACGGGTTAGAACGGGCGTAGACACCAGTGAAGCGGCTGTCTTTTCTTCAGTCTCCACATTGGCGCCACAGCGTGGGGCCCGAACCCAGATTCCCGTACAGTCAGGTACGTTTAGCAGGCCTTCGCAGTCGCTGCGCCTATACAGACATTGGATTACTTCACCGCCGAGCTTGTTATAGTGACCGTTAAAATGTCAACTTCGCCCCCGCTTACGCGATCCCGTAGCCGCCCCAATGCAGCGAACACAGCTCGTGCTACCGCGACTGGTGATGGAGCGGAGGACTTGCGACCGGGCTCTGATATACCCACAGCAGACTTGGAGGTTCCATTGCCCGCTGAGAGCCTTTCCCCACCGGTGCCGCTTGCACCTCTCACCGCGTTGGGCCCATTGCCAGAACAAATGGCATTGTTCCTGGCGGAGATGTCGCGGCTCCTGCAGGAACAACGCCGTCCGCTACCACCCTTAGTTCCAACACCTCGGACGGGGACATTGCGTTTACATGCCGAGATTCCGAAATATTCAGGCTACGCAGATAGAAAATCGGTTGTTGATTTTCTTGACGAATTGCGTGAATACCAGGCGGTGTCTGAAATGTCTGAGGTTGAACTTCTATCACGCGTACTGCCGATCGCCCTCACGGGAAGCGCCGCGACATGGCGTCGGAGACAATCACCCTTCTCGACGCTACAAGACTTTTCGGAGCAGTTCAAAAATGAATTTCTGCCTCCCGATTACGGCGCGCGAATGCTCGATGAGCTTAGGGCGCGCACTCAGCACCGCGACGAGTCCCTAGTCGAGTTTGTTCGGGCGCTCCAAACTCTCTATGACAGGGCTGACCCTAGTGCGTCCGACTCAGACAAGGTGTCGCGGGCTATCCGGCAAAGCCACCCGCAGTTTCATCCCTACCTGCGTGGGCGGGTGTTCCGGAGTTTGGACGAGTTGGCCCAAGCAGCCCACCAGATCCAGGCGGACATCCTGGCCGAACTAAGATATCGGCCTCCTCCACCGCCGGAGGCTTGCCTGGAACCGTCCTGCGCTTGGACAGGCACGACCAGGCAATCCATGGACGAGCATGGGTCACGGCCAGTTCTCCCCGGAAGGGTACCCCGAGCGCTGGACCCTTACACCCACGGACTGGGCGATGGTGCTCAAGTCCGCGAGCATGGCCGCCAATACCAAGCCCCATCCAGAGAGCGATACCCAAGGGCCACCTCAGCTACTCTCCGCTGCTTCCGGTGCGGAAGTCTCGGCCACTTTCGCCGGGACTGCACCCGGCGGGTTTCAAACGACAATTCGGGAAACGAGGTAGGCCGCCGATAGCAGGGCCCTGTCTGTCGGTGGCTTCTCCTTGTTACAGGCCCTCGGTCACCCCACCGTCTCGGTTCTTCAGCAATCTCGGCCCAGCCTCACGAGCAGCCCCGCCGGGGGCCTCCTGTGATGAGCCCGATGTTGCAGCACCTGGTGTGGCGCCCGCTCGAGCGCCCGATGACGCTCCCGCTCCCGGATTACGCGGCGACGCTCTCGCAGGCGCTCGCGGAGATGCCCCAGGTCTCGGCGTGGCGCCCGCTCGAGCGCCCGATGACGCTCCCGCTCACGGATTATGCGGTGACGCTCTCGGCGGCGCTCGCGGAGATGCCTCCGGTAGTACCAGCGCCGGTGCTTTCCCCGAGGCTTCCCACGGAGCGGTTCTCGGTGGCGTCCTGGTCCCCGACGAGACAACTCCGGAGAACAGACGTGACGAGACGGCTGCTCGCAGGAAGTGGCAGCGGCGTGGCCGCCCGTCGTCCACCCACATGCCAGAAAAATGGCTGATGCGACCACACCAGCGCGGCCTTCTGGAAAACCCGTAGACAAGTGTATGGCCCGTGCGGTCCAACCGGAACCCCGTGCCCACTACCGAACGGTGACCTGGGCGGGTCTACGAGACGTGACAATCCTCAGCATTTCATTGATCTTGGGAATCCTAGCGACCATGGTATCATGGGTGAGTCGGCTGAAAGTCTATGACAAGCTACTTCGAATTTATAGGTTCCGTCCAGTCACGTACTTTATACCATCCCTTGACGCTATGCGTCACGAAAGTAGAGGTATAACAGAACCCTACATTGTGGTTAACATTGCCGGTCAACAGATCGCAGCTCTCTTGGATACCGGAGCTGCAATTTCACTTTTTGGAGACTTCGTTAGAAAATTGTGCAAAGACCGGAACATCTCAATGCGGCGTTCTCAGAGAGAGCTCCGTACGGCATCTGACCAACTTATCTCCGTCACTGAAGGAGCTCGACTGAAGCTGAGCTTTGATGGGCGACAATGTCGACAACATTTCACATATCTGCCGGGTCTCGCCTGCCCTATTCTTCTCGGTCGAGATTTCATCTCCAGGGAAAAAATAGTCCTAGATTTGTCAGCAGAAGAATATCGATATGGCTCGCAGTCCGCTACTTTCAAGTTTGCAGTCAGACCAATGCCTACGGCAGCTCGTCCTCTAGAGGGTACAATATGTGAGAGATTCCCCTCCTCGGGGTATCTGCACGTGGCAATGAAGTCATTTTCTGGCACCGACTCGGACCGTTCACGTATAGCGAAGCTTTTGGAGAATTTCTCACATATGTTTACAGAAACACCTGGGAGGACTAACATCCTCGAACACCGAATTGATACTGGAGACACTCCGCCTATCCGATTTAACGCGCGGCCCCTAAGTGTTCACAAACGCACACTCCTGGACGGAGCACTGAATGAGATGATTCGGACCGGAGCCGTCCGTCCCTCGAAAAGTCCATGGGCTTTTCCGGTTGTGTTAGCACCCAAGAAGGATGGCACCGCACGCCTCTGCGTAGATTACCGTCCTCTGAACGCGGTCACGAAGCGAGATGCATACCCCTTTCCATCAGTCTCGTCTGTTTTATATGCACTGGGGTCTGCACGGATATTCACAACCCTCGACTGTAGTAGGGGATTTTTGCAAATTCCCGTAGCAACAGATGACGTCCCTAAAACAGCATTTGTTTGCCCCAGGGGTCTGTTCGAATTTGTCCGACTCCCCTTCGGCCTATCTAACTCCCCTGCGAGCTTCCAGAGGCTCATGGATACAGTCTTGGGTGATGCAAAGTTTAACTATGCAATGGCCTACATGGACGACGTAGTAGTGTTTTCTAGTACTATCGAGGACCACCTTCACCATTTACAGGTCGTCCTGAAGCGCATGAGTGAAGCTGGTCTCACGATTAACCCTTCAAAAGTGCAACTTGCATCACCCAAAGTGGAGCTTCTTGGCTTCGTGGTCGACCAAGGATCGCTGCAGCCGCAAGCAGAGAAGCTCAGAGCAATTATAGAATTTCCCCAGCCACGAGACAAAAAAAGTTTACAACGGTACCTTGGCATGGTGGGATTCTACCGCGAGTTTATTGCCAACTGCGCTGATTTGGCCCGGCCCCTTCACCAGCTATTACGCCGGGAAGTTCCATGGACCTGGACTTCCGCTCAGGAACAAGCGTTTAAAGCGTTAGCAAATGCTATTGCGGATACTGCATCTCTGAGACTTCCTAATCTCAATGCTCCATTCGTCCTCCAAACGGATGCCAGTGATTACGGTATAGGTGCAGTATTACTCCAAGAACATAACGCAGCGTTGCGGCCCGTTGCATTCGCGAGTCATACTCTCACCGCGGCCGAATGTAACTATACGGTAACCGAAAAAGAATGTCTAGCTATAATATTCGCTTTGCGAAAGTTTGACATGTACCTAGATGGAGCGACCTTCACCATCCAGACTGACCATCAAGCATTAACATGGCTGAAAAACCTTAAACACCCCGCTGGACGCCTTGCCCGCTGGGCTCTGGCTTTACAGAAATATGATTTTTCCATTGAATACAAACCGGGAAGGTTCAATGTCGCAGCAGATGCCCTGTCACGAGCACCCCTACCCCCCCGAAAAGCGGATGACACAGCGGAACTCATCGCTGTTGCTGACGCTGAAGTCTCCTGGGGTCTTTCTGTGAGCCGGGACGAGCTACGAGAAGCCCAGCAAAAAGACGACATGTGCCAAAAGGTATCTCGGTGCTTGACTCAGCCCCATCAAACCGATGGAACCAGGACGTATGGGTCGGTAGACGCATATGTACACAGCGAGGATGGACTCCTCCTTCGCTACATACCGCAGGCAGACGAAGCCGACCCCACAACGTCCCCTTTTCGTGTGGTCGTACCCCGTACATTAAGGCAAACTTTCCTCCGGTATTTTCATGACAGTGCGCTAGCGGGCCACAGTGACGGTCAGAAAACCTACCAGAAACTGTGTCGCGTTGCCACTTGGCCGAGGATGCGCCAGGATGTTCTCCGCTACACACGCAGTTGCCTACGTTGCCAACAAGCCAAACCCAGGGGAGGTAAACCCCCTGGTTTGATGCAGTCAGTGGAAAGTCGTTATCCATGGGAGATTGTTTCATGTGACATAATGGGCCCCTTTCCACGCAGCCCCAAAGGAAACAGGTATCTCCTGGTAGTCACCGACCACTTCTCAAAGTGGGTGGAGCTTCACCCTCTCCGCCAACTGAGTTCCAGGACCATTTGGGACAAATTGAGGGACACCTTCACCCGCTTCGGGTTCTGTTCCCAATTAATTTCCGACAACGCATCCTACTTCACAAGTAAGGTTTTTGAGGACTGTTGCGCAACACTGGGCATCCAGCACAAGTGCACCACTCCTTACCACCCTCAAGCCAACATAGCTGAGAGGGTCAACCGGAACCTCAAAGCAATGCTAGTGGTATACACCGAGAGACATAAAGACTGGGACAATTACATCCCGGAAATGGCTTTCGCCACTCGAACTACGGAGAACCGTACGACAGGGTTCACACCTTCCCAAATAAACTTCGGACGCGAGCTGCGATTTCCCCTCGAGAACAGCTTTTCCGACGATAATCGAAGACCAAACACCTCGTACGCGAGATTCGCTGAACAACTTCGTGATAAAATCACCGACGCTGTGCGAGTGGCTCGACAAAATATTGAGTTAGCGCAGCTCGATCAGAGGAACCAATATGACCAAGGCAGGAGATCCCTAGAATTTTCAATAGGCGACTGCGTTCTCCGGCGCGTGCACCCGCTTAGTAATGCAGCAAAGGGATTCGCGGCATCACTAGCTCCTCGTTGGGAAGGTCCCTTGGAAGTTGTTTCACGGGTATCACATTTGGTGTATAGGTTACGACATGTCGAAGACGGGTCGTTAACTGGACCCGTTAACATTTGTGATCTGAAGCCGTTTGTTTCTAGACATGTCACCCTTTAGGGATGTCCTAAGAAACACAGTCCCCCGTCAATTTTTGCCACACGAAAGATTGTTGCTCATGGTTATTTTCTATCCAGGCATGCCACCTCGACGCAGCAACACCCATTCCTTCCGACGCTCTCGGAGCCGCTCCCGATCCCCCCTACGCCCCCAATTCAACCCACGGGGCCACTCGCGCCGCGCCAGGCGACATAACCGCCGTCAGCAACCGCCACGCACTGCCAGGCTGCCACCTGGTGCGTGATGGAGGCCGGTCGAATGGTCACATTCGCGTCCCGGATGGCCTGGGAACACCAACGTCAAGTGCCACAAGGGACTGCGCCAGAAGACGTTCCCCATCCCTTCCGGCGACGGACACTGACGGAGCGCTGTGCTGCAGATCTACCCGCCGCCTATGACGAGGAAGAATAGGCCGACATCTGTGAACTTTGCCGCGTCCCACTCATTTCATGCGAACAACATCATCAAGGAGCACTTCACCACGACCGAGAAGACCGCCAGCGGGCGCTGGTGCGAGCTGGATCACGGGCCCTTACACCTGCCGACATCGAGGCCGCCCTCCTTATTGTTGGCCGTGCCTGCCCCGAACGCCTGCGCCGAACACTACCCTTACCACCAGAACTGGCGAACATCAGACTCAGCGACGATGAAATTTAACTACCACATCAAACTCTATAGCCTCACAAGCAAAATAATACCTAAACCGTCGAGCTACGTTCACATACAAGAGATCTTTCGCCACATAGAAGCCATCTCTTGGGGAGGCCACCGCCCATCACCACGACCTCACCAACCACCCCCCACCGACGAGTGGTGACCAGGAAAGCACGTCTGTCCTGGCCACCCTTGCATCGCTTGCCGAGGCACAGCTCCCAACGCAACCCTATCGTCGACGGAGGCTGTGCAGTGACTGGAATCACGGCATCACTACGCTCCCTGCCAAAAACTCCACAATCATGGCGTGTGCTCGGGGAGGGGACCAACGAAAACCACCTGACGAAGAAACTCTCCGCCCCCCCCCCCCCCCCCGAGAGGGGGAATGATGTGGGGATTGAAAAGGACGACAATAAAGGTGGCTCGTGAGGTG